CGACCTGGTCCCCGCTTGTCATGGGGCCCAGGGTAGCGTGGGTCCCCAGTGCTGCTGGGCTGGGCTGGAGTGGCCCCTGTGCCAGCCAGGCAGTGGGGCTGGGCGATCTCTGCCGACAGCAAGCCCCGTGGGCAAGTTGCCCTGGCATCGCCCCGGACTCCATGTGGGAACTCTGCCCTCGGGCAGAGGCTGGCTGCCTGTGCCCCATGGATGGAGGGAAGGGGGAACGGTGATTTCTCCAGGGGGGGCATGGGCAGGCAGAGCAGCTGCAGTCCCACTTTCTAGGGCAGGTGGATGTAGAAATCAAATGCAAAATGAGGAGGGAGGGGATTAGACCTAGAAAAGCTGCCCTCTGACAAGAAAGGGGATGGTGGTGGGAAAGCCCATGGGCCACATCCCCCTGGCAGGCTGAGAGCAAGTGAAGCCCAGGGGAGAAGGCAGGCATGGTCCTGGGCCTCTGGCCACGGCACCTCGGGAGGCTTCGAGCCAGGGCTGGCCAGATGCCGGGGCCAGTGAGAACCGGGCTCGGGACAACTGGCTGGGGCGTGCAGTGGGCTTGAGGCCAGGCCCAGGCACCGCAGCCCCTTTGGTGGCAGGGGGCTGGGGCCGGAGGAGGATCAGGGGGGCCATGGATGGCACAAGGGCTCGCGAGCTTGGAGGCCCCCCCTGCCTGCCCACAGGTGGTAAGGACGGGCAGGGCTGAGCTGCTCCCACTGGGGAAGCCAATCCAGAGGGGCAGGCGGGACCCCCTTGGAGTGGCGTGGGGAAGGGACGGGGCGACCTACAATGACCAGCAGCTGACCGCAGCCCTCTCCGCTTGCTCTGGCCAGGACCGCGTCCGGTGGAAGGCTTTGAGATCACGAACGTGACGGCCAGCGCCATCACGGTGCAGTGGGCTCTCCACCGGCTCAAGCACTCCACTGTCAGTAGGGTGCGTGTCTCCATCCGCCAGCCGGCGGACCTGGCAGACCGCACCGTGGAGCTGAACAGCAGCGTGGCCAAGTACACCTTCCTGTGAGTGGGGCAGCAAGTGGGTGCCAGGCCAGCTGGCCCTCCCGGGCTGCCCTGCCTTACCCCTTCCCACCCTACCTTCCTCCTCCACAGGGACCTGCAGCCAGGAGAGAGGTACATTGTCCATGTTGTAACGCTGAGCGGCCTGGGGACAGAAGACCACCCTTCGGAGAGTCTGGCCGTGGACCCCTTCCATGTGTGGACGAGTGAGTGGGGTTGCCTTCGCCGCTCCTCTGCCACTGCAGGGGCCCTGGGGCTTGGCAGGCACAGGACAGCCACAGCTCGTGGCCAGCAGGAAAGCTGCAGGGGGGGGGAGGGGGGAAAGCCCTCAGCCCGTCGGTGGGAGGCGTGCAGGCAGCCCTCGGAAAGGGCAGGCAAGGCAGCAGCACGTCCTCCTCTGCCAGATGTTGTTCGCTGCCCAAGTCCAGCACGAGCTCAGCCCCATGCGGAGCCCACACGGACCTGACTCATCCCCTGCTGCACGGCAGCCCAAGGGTGAGGGCCAGCCCCAGGTGGCAGGGTGCAGCGAGGCTCTGCCTGCCTTGGCAAGGACACAGCGCTGAGCATGTCCTCCCAGTGCGTTGCACGGCTGGAGCCGGGCTGAGGGCTGGCTGGGGCATGGCCAGGCAAGCTGGGGCCCTGGCACGCTGATGAGGTGGTGTGCGAGCAAGTAGGGTGGTCGCCGCTCAAGGACACCAGCGCTGACCCCTTTTCTCCCCACCTCCTGCCTGCCGCAGGGCCTCTCCCCCCCAAAAACCTCACCGCCTCCCGTGTCACTGCCACCTCTGTGTCCATGGCGTGGGAGCAGCCGCCCGCTGGCGTTCCCCCCCCCCCCCGGCCTGCCGCAGGGCCCCTCCCCCCCAAAAACCTCACCGCCTCCCGTGTCACTGCCACCTCTGTGTCCATGGCGTGGGAGCAGCCGCCCGCTGGCGCCGTGGAGGGGTACATCATCAATGTCACCACCGCTCAGAGCGTGAAGAGCCGCTACGTGCCCAACGGGAAGCTCATGTCCTACACAGTGCGGGACCTGCTCCCTGGGCAGCGGTACCGCCTGTCCGTGACGGCCGTGCAGAACACGGAGCAGGGTCAAGTGCACAGCGAACCCATCCACCTCTATGTCACAACCTGTGAGTGCCTGGCTCGTCGGGGTTGGGGTGCTCCCAGTTTGCTGCAGAACGAGGGAGGCAGTGGGCTAATGGGGAAGCGGGACAGGGGGTAGGAAACCAGTAGACCGATGGAGTAACAAGCCTGTGGGGACTTGCTGCCCCACAACCAGGTGCCCATGGCAAGCTGTGGGGATAGGACGCAGGTCCCCTGCGAAGGGAGGTGGGGGTTGTAGGGTGCTGCCTCTGTTAGCAGAGGGCAGGTACAGAGTAACAGCTCGGTGAATCTTCCTGGGGACTGCCACTCGCAGCCCAGGCGTGCGGGGGGCATGCACGTGTCCGCAGACAGCTCTAAGCGGCAGCCTGGGGATGAGGGGACGGGCTGGGAGCTGGGTTGCTGTGCTGCCTCACAGCCTGCGTCCTGCTAACCCTAATCCTTTGGTCTGCAGTGCAGAGGGATGGGGCTCTGGAGAGACGCTGGAACCAAGCTGGGCACTCCCGGGTCCTGCGCAACAGGCTGCCCCCAGCTCTGCTGCCCGACCTCCGCTTGCTAGCGGATCACGACACAGCTGAGGAGCCCTCACCAGCCCCCAGGTAGGCATTGCTCCAGCACTCCTGGCTCTTGCACCAGCCCTTAGCCCAAGCATTGGGCTGAGCACAGCTCCTTTTCCCGGGTCCCATGCCTGGGTGCGTACAGGGTCAAGCCGTGCTCCCGCCTTGCCCACTCACTGGGGTCCCAAGCCAGGCAGGCCCTTGCCCTGTGAGCAGGGCCCTCACGCTGCCCTGCAGCTGAGCCTGATGCCACCAGTGAGTGCTTTACCCAGCTGCCTCCAGCCCTAGCGTGTGGGGCGGCTGCGGCCTGGGGGACCCGCAGTGCCCTGTACCCTCATGGTTCTCCTGTCCCAGGTTCACCGAGCTGGTGGACGGCAGAGGGAGGATCAGCGCCAGGTTTGGCACTGCGCTGGGCAAATCCATCACTGTGAAGACGCGTAAGTGCTCTGCTGCCTTTCTGGCTCCTCCCTGTCACCCAGTGCCATCTCCTACACCTCACCCCAGGACAGTGTGGCAGCCGGGCAGCCTGCTGTAGAGCTGAGG